AATCGGTCCTAGAACCGAACCTTGGGGCACTCCGCTAGAAACCGACCGCCATCCTGACATCGAGCCGTTGATCACTACCCACTGGGCCCGGCCTTCTAGCCATCTTTCTATCCATCTTACCGTCCATTTATCCAATCCACATTCCCTTAACTTGCTGGCAAGAATATTGTCAGAGACCGTATCAAAAGCCTTGCTAAAGTCAAGGTCTATCACATCCACTGACTTTCCCATGTCCACAGAGCATCATAGAAGCTAATTAGATTGGTCAGGCATGACTTGCCCTTGGTGAATCCAAGGGTTCACTATTCCTGATCACTTTCCCTCTTCCTGCCATACACAGCAGGGGAAGAATGTCCCCACTGGCCTTCCATTAGAGAAAAACAGAAAATACCAGACATTCTGGGCACCGCATTTCAAGAAAAATGTGGAGAAGTTGGAGAGGGTCCAGAGAAGAGCAATGAGAATGATTAAAGGTCTAGAGAACATGACCTATGAGGGAAGACTGAAGGAATTGGGTTTGTTTAGTTTAGAAAAGAGAAGATTGAGGGGGGTCAAGATAGCAGTTTTCAGGTATCTAAAAGGGTATCATAAGGAGGAGGGAGAAAACTTGTTCGTCTTGGCCTCTGGGGATAGAACAAGAAGCAATGGCCTTAAACTGCAGCAAGGGAGGTTTAAGTTGGACATTAGGAAAAAGTTCCTAACTGTCAGGGTAGTCAAACACTGGAATAAATTGCCCAGGGAGGTTGTGGAATCTCCATCTTCTGCCTTCCAGCCAAACCCAGGAGCCAACTCCCCCTCCCACAGGCCACAGAAGCCGCCACGTTCCTCCTCCAGAGCCAACGCCCCCTCCCACAGCGCACCCAGCAAACTTCCAGGTTTAGGGCACGGGGCCCAATTCGGGGGAATCAGGGGAATCGGCCTAAAGCCGGCCCTGGAGATCACCGCTGCGCTAGGCTCTGTATATAGACAGGCAAAGGGGCTCTCAAAGCACTTGCAGTCACAAAGGATCGGAGTCTCCTGGTGCTTATATTGGTGTAGATCAGGAGTAATTCCATCGGAATGAAGTCTGACGACCCCTTTGAGAAGGGAATGAGGCGCCGTGTCCGGCCACTTGTCCTAAATTGCTATGGAGGGCTCAAGAACTATCCCATCGCCCAGCTTTGCCCCGAATCTCCTGTCACCTTGCGGATGCAGGCAGGATCTCTGCATCGCAACATGCTGTGGCCATGCACCAGGTCACGTCACAACATGCCACCACACTGGTGGGGCTTCCAGTCCAGGACACACCATGAAATGCAGCTCCCGAGCTGGGTCTTGTAAGAATCAAGGCTGGAAGCAACAAAGGTATGGGAAGGAACGAGGGTGGAGAAAGTCCAGCCCCAGCTGCCCATCCCTAGTTGCAGGAGAGGCTGACGTGAGGATGGCCTAGCGCAGCACCCAGCTCTAAAGTCTTGCAGATCCACAGATGTGAATATCTGCAACTCAACTCTGCAGATACGGATACAAATGTTGTAACTAGAACCTTGCACATTTGCAGGTATCCGCCTTGTATCCAGGGATAGCCACATGTAATTCTGTAGGTAATAATTTAGTTAGTTATAATGAATGTATGTTATAGCATAAGGTTTGGATTAAACTTAAACACAAGATGTAGGCCTCAGACAGGCCAGGCAGCTTTGTTAACTTAGCTCCAGCTCTGTTTGATGTTAGCATGTTCTGATGTTAAAGAGAAGGGATGGAATATTGTAATGAATAGTGATGTCGGTATTAGACAAAGCCTTGTAATAGGCAGAAAGAAGTTTAATGTTGAAAGACTTTTTGGTACATCACTGGTTACTGAGACTAGGATACCGAGTAAAATGTACAAGCAAAGAGGGAGGAAAAATTGGAATTTGTAAAAGAAAGTACCCCTTTTAAACAAATCCTGCACAAATTTGGACATAATCCTTGCCAATTTTGGACCCAGCTCTTCCGGGTTGTAACCTACTCGTCACTGGCAATTAGATTGTATTATTTGTCGAGCCCTGCCAATGTCCATACCATTGCAGAGTTACAACATAAATTGGCCAAATATTTCCTGGTATATAAACCACCCACAGCCAGTAAAAAAGAATCAGCTGCTCTTTGGTTATTGTGGAAGGCTTGTAATGAAACCTTTTACCGCCTCGCAAGCTGTAAGGATGAAACTGCAACTTCTTGCCAGGAATTAGAAAAATGGAAGGTGCTTTGCAATGGTACACAGAGCCAATCAGTAATTTTAAGAAACAAATGTCAAAGATTAAAACAGCTAAATGGAAATCTACAAGAATTGGCTGACAAAAGGGGGAAATATCTGTCAACTTGACCTGTCCTCCCATGGCTCAAATACTGTATGGGGCAAGAACCACTCTCCTCTATTATCAACCAGCTACAGATCGGGTAACTTCGACCACTGACAGCATCTCTAATGTCACCTTTGGAGTTACAGGCTGTATTCGGGTTCAAGCATCATACTCCCAAATTGAAATGAGGGCATCCACATTCCTACTGGAGCCAGCAACCTTACCTTTGAATTCAACATCTCAATCTGAAATTACATGAACTGAACATAATGGGCAGAAGACACCAAATATGTTACTGAGCTAGTATATTATTTTCCAATGCGAAAGGGAAAGGAAATTGAAATAGATGCTACTAACATTCTAGATTTTGATTTCTCCTTAGGAATAGATTGAACCGAATTGTATGGATGGGTCTATACAAATCAGCAGATCAGCGAATTAACTAAAACTACACGACAAAAATTCAAGCTAGAAGTATGGCCATCAATGAAAAGAAATACTTAGGATAGGGGACCATGCTTAAAAATTAAGTGTTCATCATTGGTATGATGTATTTAGAGCAGTGTTTCCCAACTGGTGCTTCGTGGAACCCCAGGGTTCCGCAAAGCGAAAGTAAGGGTTCTGCGAGAACGTGGCATTGCCCCGCCCCCTCTTAAAGAGACAGAGCATTTTGCAAGGTTTTTTTGCTCAACCAATTTTGGCAGAAGTGAAAGTAAGGGTTCCGCGAGAACGTGGCATTGCCCCGCCCCCTCTTAAAGAGACAGTATTTTGCAGGTTTTTTTGCTCAACCAATTCTGGCGGGGCTTGCTTTTTTTTTTTGCTTGCCAAATTTTACTCGGGGAACCCTAGGGGTTCCTTGAAATTATTTTAGGCTGAAAAGGGTTCCATGGCCAAATAAAATCAGGAAACACTAATTTAGAGGATGGTCGCCTACCTGGACCACGACTTTAAATATAGTCTTACACCCCATGATTATTGTATTAGTACTAACAGTGATTGTGTTTATCATTATGCGTTGTATGTATTGTTGGATCAAAAGAAGATATGTTAAACTGAAACCACAAGCCTATGTAATGTCTCAATACATTGCCATGAAACAGTTACAAAAATTTTAAGAATGTGACCACTCAAGAATTGTTCTTGCGGGGTCAAAAGAGAGACAATGTAGCCTTGTAATTTTGTAGGTAATAAGTTACTTATAAAGAATGTATGTTATAGCATAAGGTTTGGATTAAACTTAAACACAAGATGTAGGCCTCAAATAGGCCAGGCAGCTTTGTTAAATTAACTCCAGCTCTGTTTGATGTTAGCATGTTCTGATGTTAAAGAGAAGGGATGGAATATCGTAATGAATAGTGATGTTGGTATTAGACTAAGTCTTGTAATAGACAGAAAGAAGTTTAATGTTAAAAGACTTTGTAACTTTGTTCAAGTGACTAGAAATACACTTGGTTCCATGTTGCAATTGTGTAAATGTATTGTTTGTGTGAATGAGAGAGAGAATGTTTTGGGAGAGATAAGCGTGAAGGCCACTGTAGGCCCAAATGGTCAGAAGAAGGGCTGGAGACTCAGAAGCACCAAATACTTATCAACTAAGCTACAGCACACTGAAGACGCAAACTGGACCTAGGCAGATTGACGAGCCCTGAAGTTAGTGGCAAGCACCCTTGATAGAGGACCAATAAGTTTTGCCAGAAGACAACACCCAGGAGGGGTTGTCAGCACACTGATATCAAATGACTGTGAGAACAAAACGTATGTCACAGAAAAACTGATTGTGAGGCTGTATGACTGATTAAGGTATAACAAGGCAAAATGAATAGACTCGTATGGAAGGGAAAATCCTATAAAGGATGGGGTGTCTTGTATGGTTCTTTGGGTTCTGTCCTGCTATGACTTGGAGCACCAGTCTGGACTGACAAGAACCCGGCTCCTCCCTCTTACGCAACTTATCTGGCCAATAAGTTGGGTCGAGCAACAGAATGGTAACTATTCCATCGGGGTGTGTATGTGTATGTGTCTTTTATCAATATGTGTGGCCTGTGGCTTTATCCCCTTGAAAAAGATCCTGTCTGCTTCTTTTAAGCATAATATTTTGGTGGAGAATTGGGAGACATCACGCCAAACTTGTTGGACAATATCAAAAGGAAATAAAACTGCAGTATAAAATAAGAAATATTGATATATTGATTGATTAAAGTGTATGCACCCACAGTATTAGAGTCCCAGGTTAGCAGGATTAGGGGCCTTCCTCCCCCCTCACTCAACGTGAGGGTATTGGTATTGCGGTGATTGATCAATTTAGGGGTATGCACCCCTGGCTGTAGAGTCCTGGGCTTAGAAGCCAAGGATTAGTGGCATTGCCTCCCCCTCGGTACAAGGGTATCATGAATTTAAAGACAAAACAAGTGCCTTAGTCTTAGCCCTATTTGTCTTGACCTAATTTCAACTTGGTTAATTCCATTCTGCCTTCCTAGCATCCTCCTGAAGAGTCAAACTGAGACGGGATTTGCCTCCACTTCCTGTCCTAAATGCGTTGCGTGCTGTTAAACAGCATCCTGCCCCAGAGGTAGCTGCATTTCAGCGCCGCTGCATTCCAACCTGGCTCTCATGCTCATGTGATCTAATCTAAAACAGAACACAAGAGTTAGTATGTAACTTCTCTCTCTATTCTGGGTCCTTTCCCTGTGGCATGTACACTAATCATTAATTCACCAGCACTAGCTGACCTGGGCAAAACACCACAGCAGTGTTTCAGTACAAAGCAAAGGTGCTGCACCCACACCTTGCAACTCAAATCACAGTCATGCCACGACTTCATGGTGTCAGAACATCCCCAGGCCATGGCACGGTCTGCAATGCTGGCACCTAGCACGGGGATGTGCCGGAGGTGGCATGACACTGTCTCTGTATCAGGGGTGGCATGGGGACAGCCAGGCCAGAGTCTGTCACCGTATCCCAGTGCTCAGCGAGGGCAGAATGGAGAGGGCAAAAATCACCACCCCTGCAGCAGGGCCTCAGGGTGTCAGAACATCCCCAGGCCATGGCACGGTCTGCAATGCTGGCACCTAGCACGGGGATGTGCCGGAGGTGGCATGACACTGTCTCTGTATCAGGGGTGGCATGGGGACAGCCAGGCCAGAGTCTGTCACCGTATCCCAGTGCTCAGCGAGGGCAGAATGGAGAGGGCAAAAATCACCACCCCTGCAGCAGGGCCTCAGCGTGCACTAGGTGAGGTCACAG